CCTCAGTCGTGGCCCGATCTGCGTGGGAGCGGTGGCAGCGTTTGCCCGTCTGTAACCAAGGCATTTTCGCTTCGTGGCGAGCGACGGGACCTACCGTGTTTTGGGCTGCCGCCTGTTGTTGACGGGCAGCCATGTGCGTGCCCTGGCTTGGCTGCAAAAGAAGAAATAGTGCATTTAAACAAGCAGAACGGTCTGTCCTCGTCTTTGACTTAGTACCAGGGAAGGGTGCTCGGTGTTGGGAAGACCTGCATAGTTCAAAATGATATTGCCTTCACGGCTGTGGTGGTGGCACAGGGTTTTTGGTTACTTTTTGTCCACTTCAAAGCACAATCCAGCAACGTAGTTTAAACCTTCTTTTAACTGTACTGTAGAAAAATCTGTTTCATTTTCCTTGCAGAGGATAAAGACACGTTCAAGCTTTTTTCTCCCCCCCTACCACGTAGTCAGAAAATTATGGTACTACAGATAAACGACTGCATACAGTGCAGTCGTTAAACTGCAGGAGTGAACATAAAATCAGAGTTATGTGGGTAGAAGCGACCTCAGGGGGTCTCTAGTCCGACCTCTTGCTCCAAGCAGGGTCAGCCATGAGGTCAGACCAGGTTACTCAGGGCTTTGACTAGTCAGATCCTGGGATCCTTCAAGGATGCAGACTGTGCAACCAGTCTAGGCCCCTGTTCCAAATTTCTGCTTTATGATATTCAGCAGATTCCTTGTTGGCCCATGCCTCTGAATGGCAGCGATGCTCTTGAGCGTATTAACTGCTCCTTTCAATTTCATGCTATTCACAGACTTGATAAAGGTGCACTTCAGCTCTTCTTACAGGCCATTGAGAAAGATGTTAAATAGGACAAGCCCCAAAATAGACTCTCGAGGAGCTCTGCTTCTGGCAGAGTACAAACCATTAACCACAACCCCTACAGCCTGATGATCTAGTCAGGTTCTCACCCATCTGGCAGCCTGCCCATCCGTACCCTGACATCGTAGCTTGTGTGGAAGGATGCCATGGGAGACTGTGCTGAAAGCCTTGCTAAGGTCAAATTAAATTACATCCACTGTTTTCCCTTCATCCACAGATCTAGGGTTTTTATCCCAGAAGAAGTGGTTGCTTAATTTGTTGTTATTTGCCTCCTTTCAGGGTATTTTTAGAATACTTTAGATACAAGCCTGGCAGATAATTAAGTGGTGGTTGTCAGGGATGGCCAGTTTGAGTGATGATGGTTGAGTAGCTTACTAGAATGTTTTCGGTCTTTATGACTGTTAACTGCATTACATAATGCAATATATACTATTTGGTTATATCAGTACAATCATACCTGTTGTGAGGCATTGTATAAACTGATGAGAAATTTAAACTTTTTCCCATCACTGGGCAGGGGGCAGCTGGGCTTTGTGGTCAGGCAAGTTAACAGTACAACGTGGTGGCATGAGCATCTTTCTGAAGAGAATGTTGAGTTCCTCAAGAAGATGACTGCAGAAGAGTACAAAGCTCAGACAGCCAGCAAGCTGTGCCCTCTGAAAGATGAACCATGGCCACTGAATGAGTGGAAACCGGGTGAGAAAGCATCTATTCCGAAATACCAAACTTAGACCATAATTATTTTTGTTGTGTTGTTGCATTCAGTAACATCAGGCTTGTGTCCTGCAAAGCATCATCTTTTTTGCTGTTTCCTCAATCGTCTTGACCTGTGCAAGGAACAAAATGTTCTTTGTTCTAAGTTTCTCTATTGTACCTGAGGATCTTCTCTTGGATTCGCAGACTCTGTACCTTGTTGTTGGTTGCTGTCAAGTGATGTGAACCTTTGAAAAGCCAAAATCTTTATGTTGTGCTCTAATCCACAAGACTTTCAAATCACTAGTAGCATTGTATAGTACACTTCTTCGGAGTCCAGCGGTAGTTACACAAGCACTTTCAAGTTCAAATACTTTATGTTCTAGGGAGTCTTAGTTTATACTAAGTTTATTTTCTTGTCATTGTGCAGAAGTAGCACTGACAAAGTGATTTTGATTAAAAACTTAGTTTCGAAATCAACACATTGTAATACTTTAAAGGTTCTTTAGAGAGCTGATATGTTACACTTACTTATCTATTGGGAGATGTGTGGACTTTTGAAAGTTTAAGTCGTCTGTTCTTCATCTTATGTGTTCTGTTTTGCAAGCTGTGGACTGTCAGAAGCCTTAACGGTGCCCCTGCTGTACAGTTACAGTGACAAAAAAAATGCAAGGGTTGGGACGGGAGGAATCAACTAATAGAGAGCTTTCTGTAGTAAATTTGGCTCGAGAATTCTACGTGGGAGTCAATTTTTTTTCACCAGAAATGAGCCTGAAGCATTGTTTATTTTGATCTTAATGATGAACTGTTTTGCACATTGTATCAAAGGCAATTTGTACAAATAGAATTTTACTGCTGGCATGTTAAAAATGAATGAGCAGGGAGCCTATCCGCCGGGATTCAGAGGTGTTTTCTCTCTTTCCTCTAATCTGTCCCTTCGGAAAAGTCAGAGTTGAAAAGGCCTGGCAGGATGTCCTGCAAGTCATGAGATCGACTTTTTCAAAGATTAAGTGTGGAGTTGCATCCATGTTCTGTTTTGATCTGCAGGTTCCGTCAGAGTTGGTGTTGTTGCAGTAAAATTGGGAATGATGCCAATATGGACCAAGTCAGGAGAGAAACATGCAGTCACGCTACTTAAGGTGAAATAAATCATGCTAAACTTCATCTCCTGTACTGCATTCAGATTGTTAACTGGAAGTTTCAGGCAAATTGAAACTATATTTCAGAGTAGAAATCCCAAAGATTTCTTTCAGCGTGCATAGCATGCTGTGCCTATTCTCTGTTTTTATACCCTCAATTTTCTAGGAGCTATCTACCTTCTATGTCAGATATTCAGTGATGCAGAACTGCGCGTGGAATACTTGAGGGGAGGAAAGAAGGGAGGACAATATAAAGCTGGGATTCCCTCCCCTGCTCCACTTCTTTTTGCCAACTGCAGGCACTGGGGATTTGGTTTCACCTGGCTTGCTGAGTCGGTAGCCCTGAAACTGCTTCTTTTGTGTTCTCTGGCCAATATTATTATGTTGAGGCTGCTTTGCCAAACAGTTACTGCCATGCAATAAATTCAGGCTGTGAACGACCTCACATTTACAGGGCAAGGGAATAGGAGTCAATAATGTAAACCCTTCTTATTTTATGCTTTGCAGTTGCATTTGGTCAGGATTTTACACATCCTGCAGGTAAAAGGTGTCTGTAAAAGTTGAGCATTCATGAAAATATGGTTTGTGTTCTACTAATATTTTTCCTGAGATAAATCTCTTATTGCTTGGGGAAAAAGTATATGATAAAAAAGTTAGCACTTTCCCCTGTTTGTACTCTGCATCTCTTTTTAAAAGAGCACAAATGAAATCTGACACTGGCTTTTCTTGACTTCTTTTGGTAATCTCTCAGTATTTGAGTACAAGCAGATGTGTCTGTTCTAAGATTTTTTTTTTTCTTTTTTAAGGTGCAAGATTGCCATGTTTTAAGGTACATTTCAAAAGAAGATTCAGGAGGAAAATCAGCTAGGCTAGTTGTTGGAGGGAAAAATGCATCTCCTTTTTCGGTAAGTAAAGTGCTTTGGATGTTTTGGTTAGAGTAGCCGTCTCTGTCATGATTACAATACTACAGTAGCATGAGTAGACTTCGCCGAAAGATTAATTTGCAGACGTGTAGATTTTGGAACTGATCTTTGGTTAGATTCACTGTTGCTCATTTCTTTAATGCTAGTCTCAATTCTTGGTTAAGTGGTGTGAATATAGGTGTTTTCTCACCTGTTTCTGATTGTTCTTCCTGAGTCTAGAAAGCGAGGACAACTTGCTGAAGTTCTTCTTGCCCCTTGATACTGTAAGAAAGCAGTGCGTTTTGGAAGTTACTTTAATGCGCAGCACCTTGTGGTAATGGATGAGTCTGCAGGGCTTTTAGCAGTATAGAAACAACAAGTGTCTTTCTCACGTTTGTGGGGATGCGATACGGGACCAAGACTGCAAGACGCCTGTTAAAGAGCTGTTGTGGACTTTCCCAGCTCCACCAGTTTTTAGATGACATTGTTCTGTTGTTGACTCTTCTATACTGTTTTATTTGCTTTTGTTGTAATTTTGTCATGGAACTGTTGAGCTTGTTCACTTGCATGTAGCTTAACTGAATGCAAAGTTTAAAACTTAAATTTTCAATCAGGTAGCTCCATGAATGTAGTTCACCAACAGCAGTATCAAAATGTGTTCACTTGTTTAGACACTGCAAATGCCTGATGTGGAATTCCCAGCCATCTTCAATAGGTATGGTTATCTAGCAAAGCTTGAGGAGAGAAAGTTGAATTATAGATCAAGGCAGGAAGAAAGCTTTCCCTCAATTTTGTATGCATTATAAAATAGAAAGAGAATACTATATTCTATAGAGAATTCTATAGAGATTCTATAAAATAAATTGCATTCTCTGTGATTCTTTAAAATAGAACTTTGCACTTCTTGCAGTATTCTGACACTCGTTTTTTTGATTGAGGCAAGTACAAAATAAGGCTGTGATTATTAAGCAGATTTTCACAGTTCAAAAACATTTTTTTTGAGGACGTGTATGTCCTTTTTTTCCAAGCAGAAGGTTGTCCCAAAGCCTCAGAATGAATCCGTGTATTTTTGTTTTAGTGGGGGTGAGGGATAAAAGAGCTTTTTCCATTTGAGAAATGTATTGGCTTTTATGGGGTGTTCTTGTGATTTTTGGAGATGGGCATATTTTAAGGTATATTCCTTTTATTCGATGGGTTTACGTCATTTTTCACCGCCATTACTTCTGCATTTCATGTGTCTGTTCTGTCACTTCAGCCCGTTTCCACTTTTAGTGTGTGACATTTTTCCCCGGAGGAGTTATAGCTTTACTTTTTCTTCCCTATTACCTTAGTTCAAGACGTACAACAATCATGAAGTCTAATGATTTTCAAATTGCATTTTGCACATTATGCTCCTTACTGTTGATAATCTTATAAAGATGACATTAGCAGTGATTCAGTATGTTTTCTGAGTATTATGCAAGGAATAAGGAATAAAACAAGATTTCTGTATAAACAGCTTGTCAACTGAGAAGCTTTCTTCCAAGTAGAACTACCTAAAATGTCTACTAAAGGGTTTTTTAATGGTTTGAATTACGTTAATACTTCTCTTGGAAGTAATTTTTTCCAAATTAGCTCCCGTTAATTTGGTTAAACTTACCTTTTTTAGTAAAGAAGATTGACTAAATATTCTTAGACAAATTTGTAGTCAGGACTTGGCCGAAGTCTGATCTCCTAATTATTATCATTACATAAACTACATAATTTCTAAGAAAAAATCTGGCATGCAATTTCTGAACAGTTTTACTTGTTGGGGTACCAGCAAATGTTGTCTTTCTCTGGTTTAAATACATGTTTGAATCATTGCTGTCTTTATTACTTTTTGTATGTTTCTTTTCTCTCTGAAGTGTCTGAAAGTAAGAATTAAAAGAAAGCTGAACGATTCTGTATTGTATTAGCATAAGCAGTTTATCGTCTGTTAATTCCTCATAGGAACATCTGTCCTCCTCAGATTCCTCACAGCTACTGATCTTAATGAATTCAGTTTAATGATTCCCTCAGTAATTTCACTAACAAAGAGAGTTTCATATATTTCTTTTAAGTGTCAAATTGTTTAAAAATGATAAGGAGCATTCACATCCTTAGCGATAAGGGTTTTTTTCTTCTTAGCTTGATTTATGTCAGTGTATTACAGTTAGACAGTTTTTTAATGATATTTCTTAATTCAACATATTCTCAAAAAGTACAATTCTGTCAGTGTTTGAACAGTGATTTTCAAAAATATTTTAATATGCTGCTGGCTTATTCATCATTTTCCTATAATGCTGAAAGATGTAACAGATCTTAAAGTATGAACGCTTGAGAATTCACTCAGTATTTTTGCAGTCATGCAAGGCTTTGTAAAGACTGCAGTGTTTTGTTTGTAGAAATACTTCTCTGTGACTTGACCGCTCGAGGAAAATTTGTTTCAGTTGTTGAAGCAGAACACTGAAACGCTGTAGTAGGACTTTTAGAAGTGAGTGACTTTTTTACCCTTTGAGTGTACTATGCTTTGTTTCAACTGTGGTAGCTCGTTGCAGACAGCCGTGCTGAACACAGCGTTCAGCTTGCTGTCGTCTAAGGAGGCAGTTTTACGCAGCAGCAGAAGTAAAGGATTGGTTTGCAGGCATTTAATGTTAAAGAGATTTGCTTTATTTTAAATTGTTCTGTATGGCACTGCAGTCAGATAGTCGTCTTTGATTAATTCGTCAAGTTTTCGTGGCTTTTGGGGGGGGGGTTGTGTTTAATAGATGACTTTCTTAAAATGGTATTTGAAATGTTTTGTATCATGAGTTCATGCTAATATATCAGTTTCAATAACAAAATTTAACCTTCAAAGACTTTGAATCCACATTTCCTCCTCAAATAAGAAGGCAGATTTATAAAGGTAAAAGTTCTGTTTTGTGTCTAAGTCAGAGATGCTTCATCGCCTTGCTCCTCCCGTTCTTCACAAAACTTCCGCTGTTCTCATAACATTTATTTATATATATTTAAAAGGAAAAGGAAGAGCAACATGTAGGTTTTCAAAAACAACTAACTTACATTTTAAAAATTATTCACATTATTTTCTGTGAAAATACAGAAGACTGTTAGATGTGACTAGTCAAGTGTGACAGTGCTGTCAGATGTTTAAATTGCTTTTCCATGAGTATTCATTTGAAGAAAAATCAGCTTCACTGCTTTTTTTTTTTTTTCTGCAGCCTCAGTTTTCCTGCATCATTGTTTCCACTGGCTGGTATCTTCTCAATGGTCAGCTCTTTTCTGTGAGCTGTCTAGTTTAAAGCAGCTGAGAACAATTTAAAGTATTTTTAACTTTATGTCATATTTCACTAAAATGAAGGGCTCTTCTTTAGTAAATCAACAATGGTTTGGCACTGAGTGCACTTGGTATATCTTAAACATACGAATCATAAACTCAGTCTTCATCTTTTTCCCCTTCTTTGTCCAGAGAATCTCTATTCAGTTCCATGGGAAGATTAGCGTTTCCAGAATTTTCTGCAAGACGAGGCCTTATTTGTCTGGTTTTGTTCATTAAGTGGAAGAAACCTTATCTGTGATGCTGTAGAACTAAGTCATTTTTAACAGTTTTGAAAAGTGTTAAACTCAAGAAAAAGCCATAATACGTTTTATATAAATTCTAAATGAGTCGTTTCCCTCTTTTGATTTTAGAAATCTTCATAAATTCTTGGTCATCTAATGTAACTGTACAGTGACAGAAAATAAAAAGCAGACACAGAAGATTTAAATTATTCTGTACAGAGTTAAAATGCTTTTGCCAAGATAAAAGTGTAGTATGATATGTCTGTTTCTCTGAGCAGTGTTGACCGTCTGTAATCACTTTCTGTGAAATGTTGATCCCTGAATATCTTAAGATCACTTCTTTTTAAGGCTGCTCTTTCTTACAGAAATCAGAGTCTGAAATGGAAATTTTTAGAGAAGCTGGAGTACCACGCAAGCAAAAAATTACAACATTTAATGTAACAGATGATGCCATCATTAAGCCAGGTAATCTTTCTGAGATACAGAATATTATACGCGTGACTGTTTAACGTCCTCCACTTCTTGTAAATTTGAACCAAGTCAGGAAACTTATATTTGTTTGTATTTTCGTACAGAAAATGCTAAATTCTTATGTATCATTGCGCGCAAACTAGCTTTTCATGTTTTAGGGAAAAACTAGAAAATAGCCTTTACTTTCAAGACCATAAGAAGTAGGTTTTTTTCCTTTTTCCTACACGTTCTGTTTCCATTGCTTAGAAAATTAAGTATGATCCAAACTAGCTACTCTTAACATTGGTCCCCTTAACCTTGAGTTAAGAAATAAATGTCTGTAAACTTGACTTAAGTGTTGGAAATAAATATGAACACGTTTTTTTTCTCTGATAATCATTGAGAGGGGCGCTAAGAAGTTCACGGTAGTGTTTCTCGGGGTGTAAAGTTGCAGTCTGAGGTTTATTTGCTTCATTCAGAGGGATGACCGACTGCTGTCCTGTATGATGTCATTTTTTCTGGCAGTTTGCAAAGTAAAACATAACATGCATTATACTGATTTTCAGTAAGAATGTTTGCTATCAGAAGTTTGGAAATTTCATGAGAAGTGTTATATTTATAAGGATTTATTAGATTGTGTATTTAGGTAGCTTTTATTTCCTGCTTTTTGCTAGTATTATAGGTGATTTTTTTTCTTTTTTTCTTTTTTTTTTTTTATGTTTAACTAAGAGGTACATAGGGTAAGAGGTTCTAATGCATTACACCTATATATGCTAGTAGATAAAGTTTTTGAAAGAGATTTCTAAAACTGTGTGGCAACTGGCAAATATCCAGGCTGGCATGAAGAAGTAGTCTGGGACTTACAAATGGAACTAAAGGCTTGAGATATAGCGGAAATGCAGGTTGTCAATACATTGATTTTTCAGTGTGTGTGTATTTGTGTGTAAATAAAATGTCTATAGCATCCTTCACGTTTCTCATTTTATCTCAGTTGCTTGCTGCTGACAGGCTGTTTTCCCTTTGTATGTATGCATTGTATATGTATGCATTGTATAAAGAACACAATAGGAAGATTTTTATGCCAGAAACTTAGTAGAGATTTACATTGTTCCAGTTTGAATTCATATAGAGATTTGAAAACCGCATGAAAATGGATGCAGACATGATAAAGTGATTGGAATTTCATTTCTTTAATTGACTTAAATTAGGCTGGAAACTCTGTTCAAGCTGCAGCTGCGTGGCTCATCAGATTAAAGTTCATTATAATGACCTGAGTTTTCAATTCTGTTTTCCTCTTAAAATGTTGCTAAGAGTAGAATATGGTAACTGTATAACAAAAAATTCTGAAGACAAAATAACCTTTTAAATTAAAGCTTTGATCCTGTAAGCACTTAGGCACAAATGAGTAACTGCGTTCAGATAAGTGATGTCCGTGACGTTCAGTAGCAGAAATTCTGCTAAAAGGCAGCATATGCATAACTGCCCAGTGGATGAAACTGTACTTTTATCACAGTCTCCAGTTTGGGGAAAAAAAACGAAAAACAAAAGAAAAAAAAAACCCTTTGTCTTAACAAAGAGGAAGCTTTGCAAAACTTGTCCTTCCAACTCTGTTTTTAAAGGAAGTATTTTTTAAAACACATTCCCACTTTGGAGGTGCTCCTAGTTTTAAGTAGAGCATGTTCTGTTTTCTTGCCAATATTGTTTATTGTGAGAGTCTTAATTAAATTGAACTTTGTAGGTGTTTGAATTGCAATATTTCTAAGTAAAGCCCAAAGCCTTCCCTCCTACCCGTCTGAAATTGGACTAGCAACTGAGAAATTCGCTTAAGTTGCAAGTACAAAGCACCTGTTTTAGTAATCAGGGTTTATAAAAAGAGCAAATAATACATGTGTGCAAAACAAAGTCTTATTTTGTTTCCTGTGACTATCCTCTACCCTGCATGCTAATGACTCGATACTGATTTGTGGATTTCAGCGCTTAGTTGAACGTGATCTCTCTCCTCCTCTTTTGAAGGTACTCCTTTGTATGCTGCTCACTTCCGCCCAGGACAGTTCGTGGATGTTACTGCAAAAACGTAGGTTCCTAACATTAATGTGTAGGGTTCGTCTTTCAAATAGGTTGATTTCCCCTGCCGTGCTTTGGCTGGGACTCATGGTTAACAAAAGCCAAAATTCAGTTGCAAAGGGAGTGGCGCAGAAAATAAAAGTCCATTCGGCCGTTGGGTCAAAAATATCAAATTCTCTTTTCCACTGAAGTTTACTTTTGGTTTTGAGTGCCTGAATAAGTAGTACTGCTAGGGCTATGGTCGTGCATGTGTTATATGTAACAAGTATATGATTAGCACTGAAGGGCTCGAATAAACAGCTTGAGAAAAAGGTACTCAAACTTAGCGCAGTCCAAGAGGCCTATAGCGCAGCATACGTGGTATGTAGAGGTGGGGGGATAAATATTGAGAGGCCTTGGGTCTCAGAAGAGGTGCTTAATTTTGATTTGATAAAGAGATGCAAAGAGAGATGAAGTGTGTAGGCAGAACGAGAAACAGCAAGACAGTGATCCGTTTTGCAGGGCGACAGAACTGTCACAATCCTATATTGCTTTCTCTCGTATTACAACTCATCTTCTCTGCAAGCAACCCTCTAATGATCTTTTACTTTTAACGTGGGAGGATGATTTCCTCTCAGACCACTGTGAATGCCAAGTTAGGGCTCAAGTTGTAGAGGGTGTCAAAAGAATAACTGGCACCTTGCCGCAAAGACTAGTCATGCCTCTTCTATTACATGCATAATCTCTGCTGCCCAAGAGAGTTGGAAACTGTTATCTCAGTGTTTCAGCGAAGTGTTTTTTTTAATATTGTGATAGCAAAGTGATGTTTTCCATTTGATGTTTACATTTTTGTGTAACGGTGATAATACCTAACAGGATTTGTTGAAATATTATACGTTGTAATTGTCTTTTTTGTGTAATACTTACAAAAGTCAAATAGTATTCCCATTACTATTCTTGTGTATACAGACGGAAACTGACCTTATCAGTATAGCAGAGTTACCAGTTCTCATATACCTGACTAGATCTGTGAGAGTACCCTCTTGAAAGTCTTATTTACTGTATCTAAAATTTTGATCTAAGGAAGACAAGTCGTTGACGGGAATTAGTCTTATGCAATACTTGGACCTGTTATATTTATTTTTCATGCTGCTTCTGAATTGTCTGCAATGAGCAGCCTTTAACTCAGAGCAGCTTATTCTGCCCCTGCCCAAGCGGAACGTTTTCCCTTTGTAGAAGAGGCATTAAAAGCCTATCTTAATTTTGTTCAAGTCTTTGCATGGCATTGTAGATCTGCTTTAAATGACTCAGCCTTTTTAAAATATACTGAAAGGCAAGAAAGATGGAATAATTCAAGTAATTATTTTGTGGAGATTATTGGACCTATTTTTCTTAAGCAGTTCCTCATCCCTGCGTAGGTTGCTCCTTACAAAAATTAGGAAGCTTTTCTTTGTTACTGTAGCCTGAACAAACTACTGTCACTGAATTTCAGAAAAGTGCTGGTTAGGATCTTAATGTGATTATCAAAGTGTAGATTTTTTTTTTTTTGTCCTTTTTGGATTGTCTCCTTTTAAACTTTCCTTGAAAAAACATTTTTGTCTAATTCTTTTGAAATGTTTTGATTCATTTATACTTCAGTGAAAAAACTACCATCATGGAAACAGGAAGGCTTGGTTAAAGATGTGTGCAGTTTGTTTTTATTCTAAGTCTTGTAATTTGTTCAACATAGTACGAGTAGCTTTTAAATGCTGACAGTAGACAGTCTGCGTGTCTGCATGCTGTCTGTCTTCAGCGTTAAATGTTTTCCTTAACCTTTATTGTAAGCAATTGAAAAGCTCAGTCCTTATATTTCATAGCTGCCAGATCAGGGGTTGTGTTGCATTATAATTCCCGTTTCTGCTACTTTACAGTCTGTTTCATGGTCATTTCAGGAAGTCATTGGAACATCGGAAATTTTGCCAATCCAAAGAAAAAGCAAATAGTAACTTATTTTGAAATGTATAAGAAGTAGGTGATGATTATGGAGAGTTAGCAGCTTATTTAATCTTTACTAGGTTAATGGTGTAGTCCAAGCCTGAAAGTACACGCTACAATTTTCTATAATTATTTGACTAAATAATTTGTAATTCTTCTCCTTTACAGCATCTAAATAATTGTCTTTTAAACCTGCTAGATTTGAAGAGTTAGCAGCAAACTAAATCATGGCTTAATTAGAATGCTTTATTCCAGTAGTTTTCCACATAAATTTTGGCTAATTAGGTACTGGCATTATACTTGAATCAAACCTGGAAAATAAGGTGCAATGCAAAATTGTATTTGACTTTAACAGCTGCTGTCCTGCAGGTGAGACTAGAACAACTGTGTGTAATTAAATTCTATTTTTAATTCTACAGAACCATTATTTTGTTTCCTTTAAGCTTTGCATTAGTCTTAATTTTGCATATTCCTGATTATTGCCTATGATTCCTTTATAGAACACAAGTAAGCATGCTTTAGTGAAATGACTATGTGACGAAATTCCCTAAATGGCATAAGACTGATAGTATGTATATCCCGTCTAATAAAGATAGGTCTCATGCAAGCTTGCCTATTCAGATGCTATGTCTAATGTTACTGTTGTCAGAACAAAAATAATCCTTGATTCAAGCCAAGATCTTAGGACAGCAGTCAGAAGACGGCGTACAGAAATCTCAACAGTATAAATGGGATGACAAACCTTCTACTTTCACACAGCTTCTTGATAACATTATCTGAGATACTGCACATGTAACTTGACCTTCTCAAAGTGAAACGTAGACATTAATTGTGTTTAATATACGGTTTTGGATTAAAAGCCTGGTTTGACAAGCCTTGATGTTTCTGAAAAGTGTTTATTTGGAGATAGCAGAACTATGCCCGTTGTTATTTCAGGGTTGTACCTGTACAAATTGGAATTGTATTGTGTCTCCTTTTAAGACTTTATAAAATTTAATGAACAAGATGTAATGGGATATCAGTAGTTAGGACTTTCTAGGGGAAATCAGGTATTCTTGTGAATCATTCTTCAATGAAAAGGTGATGCAGATTACCAGAAGCAAAGTGAGCTCTAAGAAGGGTACATATCTTGGTTAGAATCTTCTATGCATACTTTGGCTAGTGTGAAATTACATTTTAAAACAGGATATATTGCGTATGTGATAACTATATGGATCTTTTGATTTGGCTAGCTCACACTAAATGTTAAGAATGATGGAAATAGACTCATGAGGCTTTTTAAGTAGTAAAAGATCTGTTATTCTCATTTTGAATATTTCTATCTTGTTGACTCTGGATAATGTTGTTTTAAATGTAGTCTTTTTTTTTTTTATTTTATTAATGATACTTTTAGTGATAATTCACTTTCAGTGATTTAAGGAAGACAAAAAATGCAATTAAAAATTTGAAACCAGTAAATCAGATACTAAGATCGAACATCTGTTCAGAAGTTGACAAGAATATATTCTTATAAGTACTGTTTAATTTTTTGATGGAACTCAGGTGTGAGACAAATGTGAACTGTATAAATTCTTTTCTGATTTTCCATGCTGTTTCTTCTGAAAGAACGACATGCATCTTAAGTCCTGTGCCTTGTTTATATAAGAAGACTATTAGCATCAAAAACATTTTGTTTCACGCAGTTACTGGAAGAATGTAAAATCTTCCGATATAAAGATAATAAGGATAAATGTTGTGTTCATACTGTTTTTTCTCTGCATATAGTACAGAAACCCAGTACTTGACTGAGACCAGATCACAGTCGCATCAAGAAGGTTTTAGGTTAGAAGTATGATATTCTGCTGGGATGATTGAGATACACTGGCAGAGCTAGTAAATGCCTAGCTGAACAGTCCTTCTTACAAAGTTGTATTTAAACTGGTGTTAGTAGTCCCTTACTTTATTTTCAAGTTTACTTTTGATTTGCATAAACTTGTAGTTTAATACTCTGTTCCCAATTTTATTTCAGATAAAGGATGAGGTTAGGAAAATATAATACTCTGCATATAATTGTTGTTCATCTTGATACATGTTTCATGGATACATGTTTGAAGAATGTCATACACCGTATATTCGTTCTTTTGAAAAACAGACAAAAATGAAACAGGACTATAGCTTCTTCTTATGGTTAATTTACTTTTAATCACGACAACAGCGATTGTGCGTCATCTTGAATAGAAAATAAATATTCAGAAAAGTTGCAAGATAAACTGTATTTTTAGGTAATTCAAAGACCTTCAATTGATTTTTCACAATGGAAAAAGGAAACTATTCTCTAAATGAATTGAATAACTATTGTGAAAGAAACTGGGTAGATATTAAAGCATTACAAATTACATATCATGTATTTTCAGTGTTGAAGCTTCTTTCTTGACCCCGTTCTAGATATTTCAGATGTTGGAGACTGTTTTCCTATAGTAGTTCAATAGCTAGGTGAGAAGCTGAAGGCTTACTCAGTTTGCCAGAGTACCAGAGCGCTCCCTTTTAGTCTGGCCACGCTTTCAGTAACTTTCCTAAGGCTTCCATTTTACCAAAGCTGAGCATTGGGAAGGAAACCAAAAGATAGGCTGATACATCGTTGCTTCATTGCATGAATCATTAAATGCTAGAAACTCCATCTTAGGATATAATCACCCTTTTTTTGAAGAAATCTCCTAGCATTTGAATGAAGTAACAGTTTTTTCTCTCCCTTTAAAAGTATAAACTCTTTCTAGCAGCATTGTTTTTGATTATATTTTTATAAAAAGTACAATTTACAGCATGTCAAATTGTTCACGTTTGAAAAACGGACCATCTGAAGGAGATGTTGAAGTGGTTTCATGACATCAGGGGTGTTGCTTCTTGATTAAAGTTGACAGAACCATTTTCTTTTGGAATGGTAACCTGAGATGCTTGTGTGGTTTTCTGTGAAATGCAAGTACGTTTCTGCAGCTAAAGAACTAATCCTGCCCTCAATCTGCTCTCTCTGGTCACTGCGCAGCTGTTGCCTGACCCACTTGCAGTCAGTTTGGGAGAGTTTTTGAATTCCATCTTTCAGCTAGAGGTGCCAGGAGTAGTCTGCTTGGAAAACACGACCTATAATAGATAAAAGAATAGATCAAAGAAAAATAGTATTTTTGCAGAATAGATAAAAGTTTTCATATAGTTTTGTTGCTGTTTTGTATTTTTAAAGTTAGTAATGCCTCACGAATCTACAGATGTAGAAGAATATGGAGTTTGAGCTACTCTTAAAGCATGAATATTTTTCAAGTAATACTGTCAACAACTTTTTGTTTTTTTACAATTATCCGAATTCAGTACTGCCAGCTTTTAGAATAAGCTGATTCATGAATTACTGATGCAGTGAAACTTTGCTTCCTTTGGATTTCTGTCCTGTGTCCCTGATCGCAGGTACTCCCAGTTCTCCCCTCGGCGGGTGCCTTAGGTTGCTGGCCAGAGCCCTGACCCTCCCCACGTTCCCTCTCTTCCACCAGCCTCTCCTGGCTGGGAACGCTGGTGCCATTCGCTTGTGTGCTGAGCAGCCAGCTGACGGGTCAAAGGAACAGAATGACTGTTTTGATCATGCTGTAACGTTTCTTTAGTTGTAGAAGATGAGCAAAAAAAGGAGTACGCTTTCTAACTGAAGATTTTGATTCCGAACAAGTAGGATAGGTGTCTTTCCACTCTGCCAGATTTCACTGGAATTCGCCCAAAGGTTCAAACAAGGGAAGAGGAGAACAGAGACACGGACATCGGGATTGCGCGAGTCGTGTTTGCTGGTGGTTCACTGCTTTTAAAGGTTCTTTCTGTGTCTGGTTTTGACGCTACTTTGATTGGCTGGCCAGAGCAACTCGGGGAGTGCGACTCAAAGGAGAACTATCCAGCTGGAAGAGAAAAGAATCTGTTTTTGTGAATGATGATGTTTCCAGCGTTCGTATGTTTTCTCTAGTTTTTAATGATATTGCTTTTCTAAGTTGGGGAGTCAGCAAAAGGCTACCCTTATATGCAGCACAGGCAGTATGCATACTCCTACGCAGTTCATTTTTCTGTGCTTGGCTGGAAGGTTCTAATGCTTAAACTAATAGGACTGTGCCATTGCTGAGTGCAGTAGCCCAGAGAGGATTTCTGTAAATTGGAGGAAAAGGATCATCTTGCTTAAATGAATCAAAAAATCAGTGCAGCTATAAACCCTGTGGACAAACTTTTCCTCTTGGAAACCGACAGTGTTGCAGGTTTAAACACACTTTAATCTGCTTTTCTTTTGTGTAACAGTCAGGCAATGTTCTTGTTGAGTCTGTCCCTGCGGTAAATACAGAACTCCAAAGGCAGTGTTGTTATCGTTTGCCTCAACGATTAAGGTGTGGACATTGAAGATGCATTTATTTGTTATTTCATTTTAGACCATATGTGTCAGTTGAGTCCAGATGAGAAGTGTTTTATGTATTTTCACTACGCATAAAGCTGTTTTCTGGAGTTGGCTGTTATGAGATGGACCAATTGCAGTTTGGTAAAGAAATGTTACTTTGCTTATTTGGATGCTTCTCTTGATAGCCCTGGGTTTCCTCTCCTGATGCTTAGGGCCTTTTATTAAGTTTTGGTATGGGTTATTATTCAGTTACTCTTCGTTTAGTTTGTCCTTCTTGTATCTAATCTTAACATTGGTGAGAGCTTCAGTATAGTACCTTATGTTGAGGACCATCGCAACAAGGAGCGTTTTATGTTAGTCTTTTTGCCTGTTTGACTCTCTTCTGGCGGTTCTTGCCCTCTAAAACAACATTAAGTAATACCCTAGAATATTTTTATGATATCGAATATAGATTCTAAAATATTTTCCTCTGACTGCTAAGCTTTGCTAAAGGTAAAAAGATCAGGAGCCTGGCTGAAGTCATTGTTCATTGCCAGGAACTTTGTTTGGTTAACTGAGGTTTTTCCTTTATTCTCCTTTTCAGAATTGGTAAAGGATTTCAAGGTGTCATGAAAAGATGGGGATTTAAAGGCCAGCCTGCTAGCCACGGCCAGACTAAAACTCACAGACGTCCTGGAGCGATATCTACCAATGTGAGGAGTCTTCTTTTTTTTTTTCTTTTTTTTCTTTTTTCTGTTGTATACATTCTTCCTCAATATTTTTGGAAGTGCTCGCTAAAAATGAATTATTTCAAAACAGCTGACTGTTTTAGCACAGACTGGTAAACTTTCCAGTCTGTTGTCCACTCTGTGGTAGCAGAGAATCCCAGGTGTTTCAGAGGAAGTGCAGAAACCAATGAACAGTGCAGAAGCAGTGCAGATAGCTGTTGTCTTGTGCCTTGAATGATGGATATCCTATATTGTTAGTAAGTGAATTAACAGATATTTTGACTGAGCAAATTGAGGTATTTGGTAGTATAGCTAAGAGAAATAGTGACCTAAAGAGAGTTCTAAAAATCCCTTATTACAGCATTTCTGGATTGGAAAGGATTAGCAGTTGTTTTAAACTGTGGTTATTCTGCCATTGTTTTGGAAAGGTAGATGGCTGTGCTGTACAAGCCTAGTTGCTTTTTGACCTTGTCTGGCTACTTAATTAGCTCTTTACCAACTCATTGCCAAAATGTTTTGTTGGACCCTTAACTTTTTTCAGGCAAGGACGGAGGAAAATTTTTAAGTTTCAAACTATCATCAATATTTGTTTAAAATGTCTTTGGAACAGATGCATTTAAAACTTTTTCCCAGACATTATAACAGGGTGGTGAAAGGGATTGAGATAAATATCTAGGTAATGCTGTAGAACTGAAAATTATGGCGCTTATTCCTGCCTTTTTTTTTTCTACCTTTGTTCTCCAAGTTAATACCCATCCAAACAGAAATGGAGTACAGAAACTAGAGCAATGGAGGGAGTGTCATTTTAAATTCTGTTCTGAAAAATATATTTAAAAAATCCTGTTTTACACCAGTAGAGAATCTGTTCTAAAAGTTATGAATTAGGAGGGAGGGGAGAAGCCACAGTTATCTTAATTTTGGCTGCCTTCTGGGTCAGGACTGCTCTGGAGCTCTGTGTTGGAATCCACGCGTAGTTTAAGCAAGCTTGTTAGTCACTGCTGTCCATGCTATAGGCAAGAGTCTTGTGCTAACAGGGGTTTTAGAAAACTGTACCTTGTTTTACTTTGCACCAAGTTAAAATATGGGATGGGTGAAAATCTTGCTCTGAATCTGCAAATATTTTTGTCAAGCAAAGCTAGAATCTCTTTGCTGATACAGCATTTTATAGTGTTTTTATTATTGAGGTAAATATTTCAGGTGACACATAGATTAATACTTAACCTGGAGGTATTTGAAATGCTACTCAATAATAAATATTTTCATTGTTGTAAACAGCAGTATATTTTCTTTGCTGCTTCTCTTGGCTTTGTAAATGTACCTCTTGCAGTTATGTAATTTTTGAGCTCTGTTTGCATCTAGAAAGCTGCCAAAGTTTACCGTGGAAAGAAAATGCCTGGTAAAATGGGTAACATTTACAGGACATCTTTTGGATTAAAGGTGAGTTCCGAGTGTACTAGAGTGTGTATAAGGTTGTTGCATTGCCAAGTAATGAACTTTGCTGTATAGCGTTGTGGTGGTACACCATCCATCATTCCCGTTCGATTCAGAATTCAGGATCATGACCACATCTTTAAGTGAGAAAGCTGAAAAGATAGAAGCAGCGAATGTGCGCTCCTGTCTTTTTGTGGCTTATAAAGAAGACATCCGAACTGCCTTTTGCGTATGTGCAGTCTTTGGGGACTGGGATTGTTTCAGGTAACGCTGTCACATATGATGTGTTTTTCACCATGTCCCTTGATCTCTGCCTTTGAAATGGGAAAGTCATCAGGCTTCTTGACACCTTCAGTTAATGTCTTAGCACCTGTTCTGCTTGTTCAAATCCAGCCCAAGTCTGAATTGTTTGATGTCATTTACTCTATAATGGCCAATTCCTGTGCAAAAAGGGATTATGGTTTCTGTCTAGAGTCTGATGTGCGCATACCTGCAGCAGTGCCCGAGCTGTTACTGCTACCATTCTCTGTCTTTGCAGGCAAAATTTGCAGTTTGCACAAAAGGCATGTTAACCTGCACTTTGCAAAAGTGTGTGCTTCTGCTCTCTGCTAATTAAAACTAATGTTTTATAACTTGAAAATGTACATGTTCAGTTGAACACCTCATAGAATTAAGAAATTAAATGTTTGCAATAACATTTTCATGAATATATTTATCTTAATTTGTCACATTGATTTTTACAACAGCTCTTGCTGTAAATGAGAAAAAAAGACTTGGGAGTTTAAATTGGTGTTATACAGGGTGAAGGGCTGACTTATCATATGTAGCCTGATCATAAACTCCTTAAAACTGATTAACAGACTGCTGCATTAGAAAGCTATCCACTTAGAATAGCGTGTGACTGAATTTTGTGGCAAGTTTAAGCCTACGCAGAACATTCTTCTTCCCCAGAGTTCTACCTCCAGTTAATCAGTTTGTGCTTCAGTGGACTACATAAAAATTAACATATTGTAAATCTGGGAATATTGTCTAAAAATAGTCTGAATATTTTTTCTGTCTTCTAGGTGTGGAGAATTAACACAAAACATGACATTATTTATGTGAATGGGTCTGTTCCAGGTCACAAAAATTGCCTGGTGAAGGTATGTTTGCTTGTTTCAACTTACTGCTGTTTAGTGATGGTTAAGCTGTACAGCTGTCTCCTTACAGTAGGAGAAACACTGGTTGAATGTAACCTTCGGATTGTGAATGATTACTCGGGACAGTGGGTCACCACCTACCCTAAACAGCTCCTTCTTAGCTTTGCACTGGAGTTCTGTACCTGTTTAGCATATAGTAAGCCAACAGAGTTGCTGTGACTCTGGGTAAGTGTCCTAGGTCTAGATTTATCCTCTTTTAACACTAACCTGCGTCACTAGATTGTTGCTGAGATTTCTGGGATATTATTTCAGGGCTGTATTCATGAACAGGAATACACAGCTAGCACTGCTTTAAAGGTGATCCAAAGCATTCCCAATTTCTTGGCCGTATGCAGTAGCTGTTGGCCTTTCTAAGGAGCAGTTGAGGTACAGCAGTTCACAGTAATGATTTAAGTTCCCTTTGCAATCAGTGTAACTGTATCAGTGTCATTTTTCTTTGACATTTTACGCAATTAATTACACATTTCATTGGGATTGTTTCAGGTTTTTCTATGAAAAGCTGAAACAACGAAGAGACTAATAGGTGTTTTTTTGCAGCATGAATAATAAAAGTCCACACCGAAACAAGAAAAATACTTCAAGGATGTTTTTCAAAATATTTTTCTTTATGATTAGGTTTATTCTACACATCAGCAAACGCATTACCTGGAGGAAGTTGTTTCCCTTCTGACTTGTTAGTAGCTTACAGGATATCAAAGGTCTTCAGTATCAGTGATTATAAACATGCATATATATACATATACATACATATATATATATATATACACACATACACACACACACACACACACACACACACACACACACACACACAAAACAAATAGAGTATTTAAATTGTCCCATTCTTGAAAAGTTACAGCATCTCTAAACTGCTTTGGTTGTGATATCCAGTACCATCCTGGAGAATAAATTATGAATTTCTCTCCCAGATAGTAAAGGTAAGAGAAAATGGGTTAACAGATGTCCAAGAGAAGCTGTTTCCAGAATAACTTTTCTACAAAATTACTGGGCGCAACATCAGTAATATAGAATTGAGACTGATTTGACTGGCTTTTCGTCTGTATATCTAATTGAATGACCTTTTCCCCAACTGTATCCTAAGTTTTTTTTTTTTTAATTAATCCTGAGCTGTGACACTGATTGTTAGCTGTATGTTTGAGGTTTAATTAAGTGTAGATTTGTTGTAGGCCATTATTTTTGAATCATAAAGTATGTATACAAGCAACGCAATACAGCTGAATGAATAACACTTTATGCTCAGTCTTTATTCTTTGATTTTTAATAGTACTATTAAGCAAGAATTAATTGTTGCAAAAGGTTCTACATCTCATTCTCCTAGTCCACACTTAAACGGTCCTGTGGGTACTGGATCTGCACATCTCAGATAGCTATCTGCAAGCATTACGACATTTTATTAAGCCACTGAGACTGAAGAAAGGTCTTATTTCAACCAGCTCAAGACTTTTATTCTAACTATGGTTAACAAATTCATTTTTTGAGTTCAGGTTTTAAATGGGTTAAGAAAACAAACATTTATTAAGCAGCTGTATTACGAAGGAGTTTTGTTTTTTTTTGTTTTTTTTTGTTTTTTTAAACCAAGGTCATGTGTGTTAATACTGCACATTTTTGTTTACACCGTGATGATCTCATTTAAACAAAGCCATCTTCAGCTTACTAAGCAGACGCTGTCTGCTTCTGTTTGGAGAAGAACTTACAGGAAGGGTAACGTGCTTTCTCTCAAGATTGGGTCACTTCCACCTTTAACATTTTGTTACTTTCACTTCGGGTACATAGCATCGCTCTTACTGGTTTTATTTTGAAAGCAGTCCTGCTGTTGGCCTAAAAAAATCCTCAAGGAAGCAGTACTACTGTAGTCAGCAACTTGTTAATAGGAGACTGCTGGGCCAAACCATATGAGCGTATCTGGGAAAACAACTTTGCTGACATCTGTAATGGGAAGAGCACAATGGACTTCCATTGTCATGGCAGCCTGCTCTGTTAGCATTGAAGAGCCTGCCATTTTTGGTGATGATTTCCAGTCACTCGCTGTGGATAATAGTTGGAATTTTATCCCAAGATCAGAGGTAAAAATGGCTCCGTTATTTTTTCAAGTAAAGTTAATTTGGCATTATGAACTAAGTGAAACAAAGCACTTTTCAGACTATTTTCTGTCCTTTTGTTTAACGTGTAGAATTTCTATTAATTGCATTTGCAGTTTACCTATATTTGAAAATATTTCACGTCATAGTTATCTGCAAGTTAAAAGTCCAGATACCATGAAGTGTGCTTTCTGGCATACACTAGCACATTTCAGGGTTGCTGCTATTTTCATTATTAGAAATCAAGGTTGAGGGTTTATGAGAAGAACGAGGCTATTTCATCCCTTACAACTACTTGATTAAAATAGTGGAATATTTGAAAGACCCCCATCTTGGCCAAAAGTTCTACAAAGTCCTTTAAATATTCATGGCTTTTGAGTAACAAATAACTTATATTTGGACATACACAGAATCACACAGAGTGGTTTAGGTTGGAAGGGACCTCTGGAGATCATCTAGTCCAACCTCCCTGCTCAGGCGGGGTCCTTTAGAGCATATTTCCCAGGAAATGAAGGCACAGTAGTAGGTATTATTACTATTATTATGAAACTATTTTTAAAAAGCAGCTCCACTCTCATATTTGGTGATTGGAAGAGAGGGTATAGTCAGCAACAGTTCATTCCAAATCCGTGAACTTGATAAATCCATTCTGTACTTTTCCATAAGCCATATGAGTTGGGTATTAATTCAGAAAATCTGCTATTTTCAAATACATCTCTGAAGAATAGAGAAAGCTTTAATTAAAAAAGGATCCTGGAACGCATTGGTATTACGTGCGTGTTCTCCCATTTCTGCTTTTTCTCCGTTTAATCTTGCTGCATTTTTCTGTGGTGTTTTGAGCTTGTCTCTTAATGCCTTTATTCCGTGATATTTTGTTATTGACATAGAGACTTTCACTCTCTATTCTGACATTAAAGCTGTTTGGATCTGTACCAGGGGAGGGAAATCGTGGAATATCAACTTGTATAATTACAGTGCATTCCACTAAATGCCTACCTGTAATTGGGTAGGGCTAATGGCTGGGGGATGTGGAGCTATCTGTCTTTTATCCGAGCTCTTAAGGGAAGGATCGTGGTAATGCTTGTCTCTTTGTGTGCCTCTGAGAAGAAAGCACTTGTGTCCAGCACCTGCTCTTTGTTGCTTGGTAACCATTAAAACCACAGTGCACCTTTAATGCATATATTTATTTTTATATTTTATGTATTTTTGGAAACTTAGTGCATCAGCACTGTGTGCAGGCTGAGGTGAAGCGCTGGAGTTTTCCAAGTTTAATTTTCAGCAGAAAAACTGCAGAGTGCTAGGACTGATGGATGCCTGGATTAATTAGAAATCAGTTTTCATTTGCTGTTGCACACTAAACCATGCAGGTGAATAGCTGGCATAAGTAATGTTTCTAGTCAGCTGGAAAACTAATCACAAAAGCTTTCTTTGTCATTTAAAAAGGAATCTGTGCTGAGATCTAATAAAATAAAGAAATGTTTGCTGTAGGGCAAGAAATTTTTTTTTTTTTTTTTGCAGAGTAACCGTTTGTAAATTAGTGTGTTGTGCCTTTTGAGATACCCAGCTCACATAGTACGGCAAGGGTAGTATGCTAATAGGTATCTCCTTGGATTACTGGGCCTGAAGTTACTGATTATGGTGCTAATGCTCTTTTTTTTTTTTTTTTTTTTAAAGTTAATAGTTTTTCATTTAGGGAAAAAAAACTCTGACTCTTGATTTCTCTCCCCAGTATATTATCAGCAAGTTATCTTTTCTGTCTTTTAAGGGAGGAGCACAAGAGTAATTCCCTTTTTAATTAGATGATTTATAATGGAAGGGATATTGTAATATGGTGTGTTATAATACAGGATATTGTAGTTTACGTATGGCAGTGTTTGATATGTGGCCTATTTTTAAGGAACATACCATCCTGGTCGTCTTAGGACATTCAATGTTGATCATCTTGAATATGTCATTTATAGCGAAAGCAGAAATTCTGGCAAATCATGTAACCTACAGTAGTTCATTAACAAGTTAGATACTGAACTTGCCTTTGTGCAAGTCAGAGTTACGCTTGAGGCATGCGGTTGCTTCAGTATGTCCTGCTTGACACCTAATGAGCTTAACCTCTCAGTCTTCCTGTGCTGTTTCTCTCTCCCTCCCTCCCTCCCTCCCTCCCTCTTTCTCTCTCTCTCTCTCCCTCTCCCTTTTTCTTTCAAGTGTGTAGTTGCGTAGTTTGCATCCTACTTGTTTGATGACACACGTGCCACTATTACTGTCTGTATTTCTAGCTGCTGGAACATGAGTTGTGTGTACTGTGCTCAAAATGAACAAATGCAGGAATAGCGTGGTGTCTTGACTTCTATTTTTCTTTGTGTCCCCTGCCCTGCACCTTGGGTCTCATGATAGAGTGGTGGGGGCTTTTGTGTGGTGGTGGTGGTGGTTTTGTTGTTAAGACAACATAAGGCTGGTCTGAAATAGGTATAGTTTTTGAATTCAATTTCCTGTCTAACTTCCAAGGTAGCTTAGAAGCTGAGGTAGATAACATATGACACCGGAGGAAATATTTGTAACGAATTTTGTATACTTAAACACATTTTCTGTTTAGCAAACAGTTTGCATTCTGCTGCTGTGGTTGCTAACGCAGCCTGAAGCCTCATTAAAATGCAACTATGAGCTGTGACTTAAGCATCAAGTTTTGATCTTATTTAAGACTATATTAAGTATTTTGTGCTGATAGATTGCTGAAATTCTATTTGTTTTTCCTAACTATTATGCTGTCAACATAAACTGCACATATTTATCTCCCTTATCAAGTGTCTGCTAAACCTTTTATGTCTATGTTTTAAAGATTTAGTGACAAAATCATGACCAGGTCCAATTTCAACTTTCTTTGGTATTTTTCTGCATTTAAAAACTTTATAGATAATGTATAGTAATATTAATATAGTAGTTAAGCAAACCAAGTGATTATGTTATGCAAAGTTTTAACAGTGAGTGTTTACATGGATAGTAACAGCCAGGTGGGCTCTCAGCTTAATTCCTTCCATGGGTGAGAGCTAAATTCACTGGGCAACTCTCTGTTGCTGGAACTTTTGCAACACAGGTCTTGCGACTTCAACCTCAGCCTAGTTTACTCCATGTAGGTCTCTTCTCTCTGCCCAGACTACAGGTAGTTCAACAGTTAGGAATGGCAGTTTGCAAGTGAATAGAGTATAGCATTCATAAAGAGATGTCTGGCAGAAGAGGAATGACCTACTCCAAAAGCTATATAGCCATCCAAGCCGATACAGCATGCTCAGCCTTTCTGCTGCTCGTTCTTAGCACAGAGTTTATACTTCCATTCAGAAAGCTATTGGAACTTCCTGGCAAAAGAAAATAAATAGCATTTTTTAAGAAGCTGAAGTTTAAGTCAAACTTATTGTGTACTACCTATGCAAGAATCCTCTTGGACTTTGGGAAAGACTCAGGTAATAGCAGATGTGAATCTGGTAAATACAGTGCAGTCAGAACAGAACTGTCAGCGGACATAAAATTGTTTTATTTAATTTTGCTGTAAATCGTGGTTGTCTTATGTGGATTTCTTTCCAACCAAGAAGATTTCTATTCTTAAGCAGACCAGGAGGAAAAACAAGAGAGCACGAGCTTTTCCTCACTACGCTAAACTTTATTCTATAACCTATTTGTACTTTTTTTTTAATCCAGTTGAGTATAGTAGTGGATGAAAGGAATTATTACAGCTCCTGCAGGAAGATTATATGTAACAATACAGAAATGAAGAATCCGGTTTTAAATAAAATTTCATCGTTCGAGAACTTGTAGCTCTCCTTTCTTCAGAGATACCAGCTCTCTATCTCCTACCTCAGCCAATCTGCTTTCTGCTGATAATTCTAGCTACTAATTTTCTTCAGAGATTGGAGTTTCAGGGGCTAGATTTTAAATCATTTGACATGAAGAAAGGTCAGTACAGGAAAGTTACTTCTGTGTAGCATTATCTTTCTTATAAATTAAGTTTCTCAGAAATTAACTTTCTCAACAGCACATGTTCTACAAACCTGGGTACTAATTCTGTGAAGAATTCTAGATACTTAACTCTGCACTCATTGAATAGCTGCACAGAAGCCAGGGAGACTCAGTACAGCACATGAAGTACTTGTGCGTATGCCTGTAAAATTAGGCCAGAAGTAGTTTGTTCCACAAAGGCAAAAAGGATGTCTTGGTTGTTGAAGAGATCACATTACGTAATATAACCTGATATGTCATGTAGGAAAATAATGTGACATATAAACATAGTTAAACCCAGCCCTATTTGCACATTTATTTTATCAGCATTTTAAAATTCTGAGTAATGAATTCATAGCAGTAGACTTATCACAGTATGGTACAAGTGATGAATTCTGGGTTGGAGTTTTGTTTGGTTGGGTTTTTTTAAAAACTACTTAATGACTTGAGTACAAAATACTAAATTCAGTGTCTGGATTTGGTATTAAAATAACCAAATGGTTAGACATAGAATTCTTCAGATAAATGAGAGTAGTGTGAATATTGTTTTTTCTTATGCATTCCAGGTGATTTCTTTAAGTTCTAGTGCATCACTGTCTGTGAGTCTTCTGTTAGATTTATTAAATCCCTTTTTTCCCTCCCACTTTCTTAGGTGAAAGACACGAAATTGCCTACTTATAGAGACTGCAATAAAAACCCTCCATTCCCCACGTATTTTGCTGATGGAGATGAAAAACTACCAGAAGACTTGTACGACAAGGAAATTTTCCAGTTCACGGATCCATCTGTCACATACGCGTAATGTTCTTGACAAGTTTGAAAACACACAGTTTTATGTTATTTTCACAAACTTTGCAATGCTGTATAAGCGTAAACCTATAAATTGCAGTCTGGCCAAGTGACCTGAACGTTTTAGATACTGCAGTTTTGGCCAAGTGATAAGATTTACCGCTGTCAATTTCAAATCTGTGTTTAAAGCAGCAGGTGAGTCTGAGGGACAAGTTGTAAAGCACATCAAACACTGTCTTCAGTGATCTTTTGTCCTTTGTCATAGGCTGTGAAAACTTGCAGATTTCTGGAAAAAACTGTTGTATTGAAGATGGTTCCATTTCATTTTCCGAATGCTACAAAACTCTGCTTCTCTTCTGTGGAAAGTATTCTGTCCAACTTTGCTCAGTCAAAAATTTTTTTAATCTGTGTTGGCATCTGAAGGGATAGATAAATCGGATGCGACTCAGACTTTGTGAAGAATAACCCAAAATAAAATAGGGAAAAAGCACTGATTTGCAGCAGCATGGGCTTGTTTTATTTCTTTCTTTCCACCAGAGCTCTTTTTCTCCTTTTGCTTTAATGTTGTGTTGAGTTTTAACGTTGCAGATACCCAGCAAATTTTCTAGAGGAAAGATCATGCCAACTGCTGTTTGTCTCTTCAGAGAGTGCTGGCAGTGTATATGGTGAGGGGGTGTTCAGATTGGAAATGTTCGATAACAAAGAAGCACCAAGACTGTTTTGGCCACCTGTTTGTTGCCTTTGCTAGCAGCTTGTTCTGAACTTCGCAGAGGATCCCTCACTTGCTTTCTGGAGAAATATCTATCTATAGTTGTCTCTGTATGGGATTTTTATGCTGTTACAGGAGAGCTCTTTTAAAGGGAGGAGGCTAAATGTGAAGTATTCTACTTCATGCTAATACCTCTTTTTTTCCTTCTACTCCACCTTTTAATAATAGTTGGAATATGTATATTCCCTTTATTTTCATCTTATGTGATTTGCTGTTCAAAAGTCTAATCTTTTGCATACTGTACATCCTTTTACAAACAGAATCAGGTGCCTGTGTGACTGCCAGCGTGCCATCTGCAGTAGTTCAAGCAAGGAATTTGCATATCCTCAGTCACTCTTGATACAGTGTTGTCTACTTGTCTTTGCCGCCCCGTCACAAGACATCAAATATCTAAAATCAATAAGAGGTTCTGAGGTGCTTACTAATACTACCTAATTTAAAAGTGATGTCCTTGTGCTTATCACGGTGTGTCTCAGTCACTGAAGATGTTTTGAATTTTTTGTAATAGCTTGAAGAAACCCCAAGCCTTCTTAAAGCTGCCATCTATAGCTGCTGATTTGTAATAGGTTAGGAGAGATCATTAGAGAACATGTTATGGAAATATGAACCGTTAAATATCTATGTTATAGGGCACCCTGCAAGCTGGACTCAGACAAATTAAAAATGTGATTTAAATGAGCGTAGCAGAATGCTGAACAACAACAGCACAGTATCATATTTTGGCCATGTTACTGCTAATCAGTGCAGCTTGTCACCTGTTCAGGAAAGCTGCCACTTCCTGAAGAGGTGTTTGGTGGTCAATCTTCGGATTGCACAATAGACTTAAAAAGTTATAACATTTCAAGCTTACTTGCTACTGACTGCATGCAAATCAGGGTGTGCCTAAATGCCTACCTTGCTGTGCTGCTCTGGGTTATGGGATAATTTGACATTTTCCCTGAAGAGACTGCTCCTTGCCTGCACGGAAACAATATCACGAGCACAAGAGAGGGAGCTCTGAGGTCACTGCTGCAGGAGCAAGAAGGCTGGTGGGATGGGAGACAGTGGGCTTGTGCTGCTGCTGCTGCTGCTGGGGGAAGGTGTATAAGTTAGGGAGCTGCTTGCTTGGGGCAAGAGCCAAAGCCTGTTAGTTCCTCTGTGGTATGGTTTAACAATTCTCCAGAATTATTAAATTATTACTATTAAATTGTTTTAATTGCTTTGTTGTTAAATTTTTTTGTTGACTTAAATGAGAGTCCAGGATCTTTATCAATTAGGAGGTCATTACACAGAGATGCGCTTTCTCCTACTTGGCTTCTCACCCAGAAGTTCTTGGATTGCGGGTATCTCTCCTATAGTTTGTTGTATTTTGGGTTTGCTTTTAGTGGATGCCTTGTAAAACACCAAGAATCAAATAGGAGCTCAAAGGGAGCCACAGGTTTAAAAAAATAAATGCAAATTAACTCTGTTTCAAATGATATTTCAGCTTGAGAGGAAAACTGACAACCTAGTTCAATTCCTGTTTCTGGAGTAAGAAAAGAACTTTCCCCTTTTTGGTGTGAAGTGAGATTTCTATTAACGTTATTATTAATATTAATCTGTTAACATTATTACTTAACTTCAGTGTCCAGGGAAGGGATTAGAAATTAAGTCAGTTCTCCTGAACAAAAAACTCCAGATCTGTGTGATGGAAAAGGTTGAGTTTGAAGGACTGTTGAAGCAATTTAGCTCATCTGAGGTGAAAAGGGAAATGACATTTTAAAAAAGCCTTTTTTTAAAAACTCTCCAAGGAAAAGTTATCCTTTGAAAGCTTTTGACTAACTTTAAGTCTGTGCAAAAGAAACCTCCAACTATCTATTGCATAACCAGCACCTTTACTTCACACTACTACAGCTGATTGCTGTAAAAGTAGAATATATTCATATAGAAACTGCCCTATGCAGATGTACTGTATTAATATTAACTGCCAAAAAAATTCCACTAAATGGGGAAAAAAAAAATTTCTTTCTGTTATGTTTCCTTTAATTTGTCTAGCTTTAAAATTTCTATTGCAGGGCCATGCTATCAGAGTAGTCCCTGTAGTTGTACTTTTGAAACACATGCTGGATGTGAGCCATATGACTTTTTTCCCCATCTGATTTTTTTTTCTTCTTACAACGTGGGTATTGGTTTCATTTTCCTTGTAGTGTACAGGTGAGATATCTTCTGTCTTTGGTTATCAAGAATTCTTGGATACTAAGGAAGTGGATTTTCATAGCTCAAGGTGAAGATTTGCATCCTAAAGGTAAATATTTTCTGTTGAGGAGATGCAGGGCGAGATGAGTAATATCTGTAGGTGTGAGTTCACAATAGTGCAACGTAGATTAGCACATACACATTTATTAGACCTGTTCTTCCATCAGGCTTTGAAAGACTTGCAGTACTTCATATCTAGTTTTGTTTGCATGCCTTGTCTCTCTTTCCTCTGCTCTTCTGACTAATGGAGGGACTGCAAGAGAGGGACAGGCTGAGATTATTTCAAGGAGCAAAATTCTTCAGGAGTGTAATAACAGCACATGATTTAAGACCACCTCCAAGTTTGCTCTTGGAAAATGCTAAAGATGCTTGTAGAAGTATTTTTTAGATCCTATCAAAAGTGTTAGAGTTCAGTATTTATTCTTTGCTCCCACAACATGGCGGAAGGGGATTGTGGCTTGTCAAAATCAGAGGTGCTGAGACAATGCCTAAAGTTTTTTAAAAAAAAAAAAAAAAAAAACTCAGCAGGCAAAATCGGCAAATACAAGTCCTCTTGTCTGAGGTGGGCCTACAGCTTCTTGTGTTAAGGGATATGGTCGTTTCTCTGAAAGGGTAAAACAAGGACTGCCCTGCAAGTAGGTATCCATCTTGTCTTGTTGCTGTACCTGAGTATTGAAATTTCAGAGCTGTCAAGGAACATAGGTCCACGCAGCAACAAAAAGCCTTTATTCCATTTTACCTGTAGGTTGTTTATTAAAGGAGGAGGAGCTGAACATGTTATTCGGGGTCTGAATCCCATAGGACAGCATCCTACCTAATGCTCTTGTCTGTTTTTTATATCTAAGGAAGTTGTTGATAGCTCTGCTATCAGTGGCAAAGCTTTTGAAGGAGTTGGGTCTGCTGTGAACTGTGTACCTGTTTCAGTGCAGAGAGAAAACAAAGTATTGCTCTCCTCTGGGAGTAAACAATACTTCAAAATTGTGCCTGTCTGCTCAGCCAGCCCCTTGGCCTGGAAAAGGGTTTGTACTTTCCTTAGCATGTGGCATTTTGCCCTGTGATGTTCAGAAGTCATGAAGGATCCAAGAAAAAGCATGAGTGCTTTTAAAGCTGTGAGTGCAAGTAGGTTTAGTGTGTCCTCTGTTACCATTTTAGCAGGAAACATGTCAGGCGGCTCTTCTTGTCTTATGTTCTCTGGCAAAACACTAACATAGACCAGTGCATCCCCTGGGAGTTAAGTGTCCCTGGAGCTGCCTGGAACGAACGATGAGCTGAAATGCTGATTCCAAGCAGTTCTTTCATGTTTAGTCCATTTTCTGCAGGTATTTGTGAACATAAGTGCTCTGGGCAAGGTACGCACTAAGCTAGGGCTTGCATATCCAGGAGTACGTGTTCCTTCTTCCTTAGGCTGTTTCGGTTTGGGGAAAAGGGTTGTTTTTAACATGGTTAACACTCTGCTTTGGAAGATGATGTAAGGTTAAGCATAAGCTGTATCCATGGCTTCACAGCATGACTGCTTTGAAAAATAAATATTCTTGATTAATAACCAGTCTCCGTGGTTCTGTAACAGTAGATGAATATACAGTGGCAGGCATACAATATAAGTTGAAGGTAAAATGACAGCAGGAAGAGGAAATCAAAACACTCATCCATCACTTGACAACTTGATTGCAGTCATTGATGATAAAAAGGGAGTTTATTTCCTTGAATCTGTACTTCTAAACATCACTGCTCTAGCATTATGTGAGGCTGATAAACATTTTCCTTTGCTGTTGTGACTTGATGTGGAAAAATGTGATTTATTTGGTTAACATTTAACAAATATTACTCTAGAAAGATGAAGGGATGACAGGAGATTTTTATGTAGAATTTCCTCCCCCATCCTCCCTCAATGTGGTTTTCAGATTTTGGTCAGGCATGGTCCAAGGTTTTTTTTATAATGATGTTTTTTGTATTAAATTCTAAAAAGCTGGCCCTCAACCTCTGTGCTAATGTGGTTTCATAATCAGCTGCAACTCTGAAATGTGAAGTGTAGCACAGTCAAATAGAAAATGTCCAATAAAACACTAGGTTGTGGAATGAGAAACCAGTGGCAAGACCCCAGTAATGATTTTGGCTGCATAAAACCTCCCAGCATAGGAAAGGTGGTTACATAGGTAACGTTCTGGGCAAGTCTTCCAAAAATTGTGCTCCTCTGAATCAGGCCTTCAGATGGCTGAGGGAAGATTGAATCACAAGAGAAAGTGTGAGGAAGGCTGACCTGGTGCGATCCAGCTGCCTCGCTAAGACGAAGCCGCCGTGAACGTACAGTGACGGTTCCCAAGCAGTGAAATGGGATTTCTGCTGCTTCCAAGCTGCCAGCCTGGCGCAGAACTGCCGAAGGCATCAGGGAAGGGTTGACCCTGTATCTGCAAGCCCTAGAGCACCATTCCCCATGGCTCCCACGTGAAACTGAGGCAGCTATTTTTTAGAAGAAGTTGTGGGCCTGGTCCTATGGTGCTTCTGGTGCTTCATATTTCCTGGCTATTAGAGGGCTATTTCCTGCCTCAGTAAAACTGAGGGCAGTGGTACGATTAGTTCATGTTATGAGTGCTGTGTGGTCATAGCTGTATCGATTGGCTTGGACCATTCTCCTGATTAATGTCGATCACGTTTCTTGAAATTTCACATGTCTTTATTTCATAATTATAAGCATGATCTGTTTTCTGTGTCTTCCAGTAAGTAGCTCCTGTGCCCTTCAGTGTACAGATACTGGTTATTAATTGCACTTAATGAGTATCTCTCTCCTGCAGTGAGTTGTTCTGCACTGTTACACACTATAGTGTGTCACATATCATAACATGATTTATATATGTAACACTCTTGATGGCACTTAACAGCTGTAAAAATGCATGCAAAAATGTTGACCTTGGTCTCAGGTATATATTGGTTCTGCAGAAAGCATGCAGTTTCTGGTGGCAAATTTAAGTGAATTACACATAGCCTTCATGACAAATAAAACACACCAGTAACAGAATTAGTTTCAATTTGTAGAGCTCTGCTATGTTTCAAGTGCGACGAAATGTGCAAAACAGACGCATACGGAGCTGGCAGTTTGTTCTGGGGGCTGGGTTGTGGCACGCGTTGCAGCAAGGTGTGGTGTCAGGCAGTAAAGGGGTGCGTTAAGACTGATAGTCTCCCAATTAATACAGCCTGCTAACTGTCCCCCCCCGCCTCGCAGGAAGGACCCAGAAGGATGTGTGTGATGCTAACTGGGGAGGGCAGATGTGCAAATAGCTAGGACCTGTCTGCTCCCCTGTATCCCACCAATTCAGTGCCCATCCATTCTTTCGGGAGGCTTTTGCTCACATCTGTGCCTTCGCCTTAGGGAAGGGTGTGCGTGTTAAGTGGAAATGTTGATGCGCTTTAGCAGACTCATTTCTGTTTGAACACCCAAGGCCCGTTTGTAGAATTAAAGAGTTCCTACTTAGCTACTGCCCATAATGAACTGAAAATCACGGCTTGTGAATAATTTACTTTGGGGGGTTAAATTAATATGCACTTTCACGGCGATAACTTTGAGCACTAAAACAGAGCCCAAAAGAGGCAATCGGCTGAGAAAGCGAATTTAGTTTCCAGTGTGAATGCAGAGAATGGTCTGAGTTATTTGCTGTAATCTCATTGAGGTACACACTGGGGATCTAGCCTTCTGCGCTGCAGCGCTTACCGCTGTGTCTCACATTCCAGTGTGTAAAATCCTCTGGCGAGAGCTGTTTATATTGAAGTCAAACCTTGGATGAATCCAGCTTTGGGGGTTTGGGAGGAGGTGGGATTGGAAGGAGAGGTTGTTAACAAAAACTCTGTTAAAACCATTTCATATCATTCAGATTGTGCTATATAACTTGCTTCCTATTTCCCTGGGTGATACAATCTTACAGACAGCTAAGTCGATTTTTCATCTGTCTGTTTTCATCCCCCTCCTCGTTTCCTTTCTAAGGAGCAGAAAACCTTTAAACCTGTTTTTTGATGTTTGTTTTTTGCAGGTGCTCAAAGCAATAACCTTGAGGAGGGTCCCTTGGCAACCTGCTGCTCTATAGAAAAGCAATATGATTCATCTATCTTAGGGAAGACACAGCCAGTTTACAGAACTTTCTTTTTTTATTTCCAGAGGATCAGGATGGAAGGCAGTAACGTTGCTGGAGCAGAGGTTTTCCTGCATGTGACCTCTCTGAAAGCAGTATTCCACAGATTCCTGCCTGAAAAAACATGTGTTGTTGCTTCGTGCAGCAATAAACTCACAGTATGAATTACAGTTTTGGTGCCTCAGTCTTGTAAAGAGGTTGAATGCATCTGCCCAGCATCACAGAAAACATGCAGTAGAGAATTTCTCAGTATGTGGTGAGAGATTTACCCCACGGTGCACATACTTTAACTCCACTGTACCTTTCTCTTCAGTTGCCGAAAGATCCACCTTCATCTTGCAGTCTGTCCTCAGACTGCAACCCCTCTGCTTCCTCAGGAAGATTTTCCTCTGAATCGTCCATGTTTCTTTAAGCTAGCCTCAAATTTTCTTTTATTTGGCCTGAAAGTTTAGAGCTGCATAAGGAGAAATAGCCTGACAGAAAAGCAGATTTGATTTCTCCTCTGTCATCTTCCATTTCCTTTGATTGCAGGTCAACAGAGAACTTCTTTCCCTGTATGCCATACAGAGAGAAAAATCAATCAATTTCTGTGAAATTGCCGTTTGATATCTAAACTGCTATTTCACCCCTGCAGAGAAGATGCTGTGAAATGCCCTTCTGCTCTTTCTCACCCAGGCTTAGATACGTAAGGTCACGGTGCCGAGCCCAAAGGCTCCCGGCCCGGAGTAGCAGCAAGTGCCAGCAGCAGCAGGCTTCGAGCTTTGTTGTACGGAGCTCTTGAACAAGTTTACGGTGCAAACCCTGAAGCCTGCCTATTCTGGGAGGTGTTGAGGGCACTTGCCTGCACCAGTGACACACGCAGTGTGGAAGGAGTTTCGGGGAGTCTTTGTCTTTTCATGCTATGGAAAAATCGAGAAGTGTTTCGCTGTACCTCGTACAGTGGCTCTCCTTACAGCGGTGAAGTTCTGCCTCTGTGTACGCTGATGGCGTGCCTGATGAAGGTTTAGTTTATCGTCTCTGAGTTGGTAGCTGAATAATCTGAACGACGCTACGTATAGTGCGTGTGTGTACACGCGTGCCTGTCCTCCAGCGCTTGCTGTTTGTTTGTTTCTGGTCGGGAGATTCAATGACAAGCTTTCAACCTCGCCTGTTTACAGTTCAGTGAAACTGCTCTGGTTGGCGGAGCAGTCTGTTCCCTTCAGTCTTTGAAGGGGAGGGGGGACAAAATCCATCAAATGGAGTCCTGAAACAGCACTGTAGACATGTAAGTGAAAGCACTGGCCTTCTCCCGTCCTACTCATGCCCAGCAGTCCAATCTATCATGTTTACTGATGTCCAAAATGTTTGCTTTGATGTGAACGCAACACTCGCTCTTGTCTGAAATGCAGCCTGTATCAGAAGTATAATCAGGTGGTGTCATCTATTCTCATTGAAGCTGATGCTTTAAGCGGTCGTTCTCTCTTAATCACCTAATGAGATTTATTGAAGATTATTGAAAATAATTGCTTGTTTGCAAGCAGAGAAAGATTTCAACAAACCAATTTCATAGTTATTAAACATCAATGTTAAAATAGTTGCTGTTTTATAAATGTATAAGTAGCTCATCTTTTTGTTCACATTTAGGAAACCTAATGGATTATTAGTGCATAGTGCTTAATTTATGAAATGTTTTTACAGCCACAGACTCTGCTCTTGCAAATACCGTTACATGTGTCTGAGTTTGTGGTGGTAAGTAGTGGCTTTAATGGAGCACGTGCTTGTGAGGTGTTGATAAACTGCAAGTTTTATCTCCTGTCCTGCAGCTGTTGAATTTAGATGAAACAAGCCATAAGACAAGTGTTTTGTGAGGTACTGGAGAAGTAGGGACTGCTTCAAAAATGGGTTGGAAGGATAAGAGTGTGAACACCAGGCAGCTGAGGACTGGGCAGGTTGTTGCAGTTGTGCCCCCTGCACCGAGGGCAGCACAACTGAAATGTGAGGGCAAGAAGAAGAGAGAAACAAAGGCTGCAGAGAGGAGAAAAATTTGAGCCTGTGAGCAAAGTCGTGCGAGGAACCCAGCGATGTAGGCACTGAGGGAACCGTGTGGGGATAAGTACCGGAGGAAGGAGATGTGTAACCTGACTGCGAGAGCATTGCACGAGGTGCCCAGGGGAGGAACTTGCAGAGTAACAGCTCAGCTGACCGGAGAGAAAGGTGGCTTCACGCTGCGGGACGGTAGGAGCAGGAGAAGGGACGGTAAGGCTGGGATGGATGTGAACAGCAAATCTAGGAAGTGTTTGCAGCTATAAAGACAGTGTTGAAAGGGTCCAGCTGGGAGTCAGTTGAGTGACCTGATAGGATCTCGTGCAAAAACTACTAGGAAGGGCAAGGCTTGAGAAATAGCAAGAAAGATGACCCATGCCATTGGTGAGCCTGCTTTCACCAGTGCGAAAAGATAAGTAACTGTCTTGAAAGCAGAAATTCAGGCGTATAATCTTCTGCAGAGGATCCAGGCACAGAAATCTGTCCTGAGGAAAGTGCCTGTCTGTAGCCCACGGTGAGGCTTTAATTCCCTGGTGGAGTGCAGGGTTTCAGTTCAAGCCCTGTCTTCAGTGATTCCTACTAGCTGTCGTAAGTAGTTGCCTGCTCGCAGGGCTGGCTGCTGCTTTGCACCCTTGGCACTGGGCTCAAACTCGGGAGAGCTGCACGCAGGCAGAGCACAGACCATGCCGGGGTGTCTGTCAGCCCCTCTGTCCTCCTGTCATTTGTCTCCCCGTAGCTGTGGATGTCACTCATTTGAAAATATACTGAATTACTGCTGGTGACCCTTTGGGTGTGTTACGGCCAGTAAACTTATCGTAGTAGCCAGCTAGAAATAGAGGAATAAGGTGCAATGCGTTAGATGGATGGAGGAAGAAAAAGTTAGGTGGGGGGAGCCTGGTAAAGGAAACACTTCATCTTGCATCTCATGCTTGCCCCAAATTAGCTAGAATTAAATTTTGGAGTATGGAGGGAAGGCAGGATCAGGCCTCGGTGTAATTATACGTCTGGCGTTTGATGTCTGTGCTATGTCAGGTTTCGTAGCCGATACTTGCGTAGTTTCACTTGGATTTTAAGAGGTGCCTGACAGTCTCTGTGACTGATCACATCTGTGACTTCCTGGCAGGTCTTAGGCAGCATAGATTAAGTTAACCGTTTCCAGAGTGCTGTTGACAGACAAAAGCCTAAAAGGTGCCAGGAAGCTGATAATATCTTAATAACACCTAAGCTTTTTTTTTTTTTCTCTGTTTTTTTTTTTTTTTAATCTCAGTATCTCACTGTAACTGCCAGCCAGGTCTGTAAATCTTGATCATCTCTGGCAGGTTTGGTTTGACAGCAAAGATGCTTCGTTCTGGACAAGGAAGCCTGTATTTTACCCACCAGCCTGAGTCACTCCTGTGAGAAACAGAGGATGTTTGGCTCCTTCATTGCAGAGAGCTGGAGAATAGATTTTACTTCATGTGATTTTAACCTGCTTTTCCTCAGCTGCCTCTTTCACTCCCCACTTTATTCAGTTTTCCTTTACGTTTAAAATAGGGAAGAGCAGGGCAAGATCTGGCTGTTTTTGCACTTTGTGGGGACAAGTGGGAGTACTCAAAAGTGAACCTTATAATCCCCCAAGGCTATTCAGCTTCCAGACTAGAAACTGGATTCCATAAAATCTAGCTCCAAATTTTATAGCTTCACAGATTAAGTAGCCAAAATGTCCAAGTTAGCTGAAATCTACTTTGTAGCTATTAATTCCTGATGTCATACCATTTCAATGCAAAGCCATATTTTTTTTCATTCCCGTATATAGAAATATACATCTTTTGTTCAGCTGCAAAGCCTGACCTGGGGGAACCAGCATAAAATGGGTGAACATCGGCAAGCTGTT